TTTTTTTTGTTTTAACCCACACAAAATTTTTCACTGTAAACCCACGCGGCCCGCCTGCCATATTTGCTATTCTTTCTGCACATCAGGATGGTTTGTTCCTGTACCCTCAATAAGGCTTCTTTAAAATACAGCCAGCTCTCCTGGACTCCTTTCCCCCTCATATTAGCCTCCCAGGGGATCCTGCCCATCATTTCCCCTTAGGGAGTCAAAGTCTGCTTTTCTGAAGTCCAGGGTCCATATTCTGCTGCTCTCCTTTCTTTCTTTTGTCAGGATCCTGAACTCAACCATCTCATGGTCACTGCTGCCCAGGTTGCCACCCACTTCTGCTCCTACCAATTCTCCCTGTTTGTGAGCAGCAGATGAAGAGGACCACGGCCCCTAGTTGGTTTCTCCAGCACTTGCACCAGGAAGTTGTTCCCAACACTCTCCAAAAACTTTCTGGATTGTCTGTGCACTGCTGTATTGCTCTCCCAACAGATGTCAGGGTGATTGAAGTCCCCCATGAGAACCAGGGCCTGTGATCTGGAAACTTCTGTTAGTTGTCCGAAGAAAGCCTCATCTACCCCCTCCTCCTGGTCTGGTGGTCTATAGCCAGGGCCGGCTCCAGGCACCAGCTGAGTAAGCTGGTGCTTGGGGCAGCAGATTGTTCGAGGCGGCATTCTAGGGCAGCACAGCCGCTTTTTGTTGTTGTTGTTGTTCTGCTCTGGCCGCCCTGTAGGGGGCGGCAGCACGGAGAAACAGAGCGCCCTGCAGGGCAGTCCTCTTCCTTCCCTCCCTGCTGACCGGAGCGGAGCCCTCGCGGCAGGCGGCAGGAGGCGGCACAGCGAGAAGGGCCGCGTGGCAGCACCCCTGCTGTTAGGGTGACCAGATGTCCCGATTTTATAGGGACAGTCCTGATTTTTGAGTCTTTTTCTTGTATAGGCTCCTATTACCCCCCACCCCCGTCCCGATTTTTCACATTTGCTGTCTGGTCACCCTACCTGCTGTAGCCCTGGCCACCCCCTTCTCTCTCTCTCCCGCCCGCTCCCTCCCACTCCCCAGCCGGTCCCCCTGCACCCGCACTCCGGCCGTGCCGCAGGTTTTTTCTTTTTGCTTGGATCGGCCAAAAAGCCAGAGCCGGTCCTGTCTATAGCAGACGCCCACCACAACATCACCCTTGTTGCTCTCACCTTTAAACTTAACCCAAAGACTCTCAACAGGCTTTTCTCCAGTTTCATACTGGAGCACTGAGCAAACATACTGCTCTCTTACATACAGTGCAATTCTTCCACCTTTTCTCCCCCCCGTCCTTCCTGAACAGTTTATACCAGGGGTGTTGGGGGGGGACTCGAGGTCAGGGCAGAGGGCTGGGGGTGTGGGGGTGCAGGGCAGAAGGCTGGGTGTGGGGGGGATCAGGGCAGAGGACTGGGGTGTGTGTGGAGATGCAGGGCAGAAGGCTGGATGTTGGGGGCAACTCGAGGTCAGGGCAGAGGGCTGGGGGTGTGTGGGGGGTGCAGGGCAGAAGGCTGGATGTTGGGGGCAACTCGAGGTCAGGGCAGAGGGCTGGGGGTGTGTGGGGGGTGCAGGGCA